GTGCTATGCATTGGAGAGTTGGACGATGAATAGGGATGATAGAAAGAGAATTGATGCCTTTGAGTTGTGATGCTGGGGAATGTTGAATATCTCATGGACTGCTAGGAGAACGAACAGGTTTGTCCTGGAGAGAGTGAATCCAGAATGCTCCTTGGAGTCAAGGATTCTGAAGCTTCATCTGACATGTTTGGGCATGTTGCAAGGAGGGACTTGTCCTTGGAGGGGGACATTATGTTGGGGAGAGTGGAGGGGTGGCGAAGGAGAGGAAGACCTTTGGTGAGATGGGTCGATTCTGTGAGTGGAGTGGTGGGAATGAGTGTGTTTGAGACTGTGAGTTTGGCACAGTATAGAGCAGCTTTTAGGGCTCTTGTACATAGGGTCACTATGAGTCACAAGCGACTCGATGGCACATAACAACAACAACAATCCAGGGTCTTCTCCTGTGCTATTTCTCCACCCTTCTGAGCATGATGTCCTTCTTTAAGGACTAGTCTCTCCTAGCGAGGTGCCCAAAGGATGTGAGACAGAGCTTCAAAATCTAGCCTCCAAGGAGAAACTTGGTTTCACCCTCTCCAAGACAGACCTATTTGTTTTCTTGGCAGTCCATGGTATGTTCAAGACTCTTCTCCAGCACCATAATTTGAAGGTGTTAATTCTTCTGTCATCCTTAGTCATTGTCCAGCTCTCTGATGCATAGCAATTATTGGACCTGGATTAGGAGCACCTTAATCTCTAGACTGACATTGTTTTTCAGCACTCTGGTGAGGTCCCTGACAGCAGATTTTCCCAAAGCAATTTGTCTTTTGATTTCCTGACTACTGGTGTTAAGAGTGTTTATTGTGGAGCTGAGCAAACTGTAATTGTTAACAACCTCACTTTCTTCTCCATCTATCATGGTGTTGTCAATTGGTGCAGTAGTGAGAATCTTTGTCTTCTTGATGTGGAGCTTCCATCCATAGTGAAGACTACAGACAAATTTATTTCTTAGATTTTCCAGCCCCAGAAAACAAATATTCATTGTAAAGAAATTTTGAACCCAGATCCTTCGGCGAGGGGCTGACCATCTTATGGCTTGGCATTAGTTGATCTCAGTAAAAGGAAGTTGGACAGAGCTCAATAAATACTGTCAAGATTAAACAGAACTTGATATTTTATATTTCTGCTTTGTCTTTACTTGATAACCCTCATTGTATCAGCTATTTTGTGTCATTTTTTTTATACATTGAAATTATTACATGATATTTTCATATTATTGTATTTATTGTGATTTGGATGAACTTTATAGGACAATTAATTTTCCATTTAACAATTAATACATTTTTTGTTTTGTGGTATTAATTATAATAATACTCACAATGCAGTATCACTGTTATTTTCCTCCTGTGATTCTGATTTCCATTAATCCTTGTATATTACCCCTTCTTCCTTTTGAAGTTTGTCTCTGGGTAAATCCTTTTGATCACAGATGATTGCTTGTTCAAATGAATGAGTGTCTCTCAAGTGTTACTGTTCACTTTGTAGTCTGTCTAGTTTTATCTGTTCTGGGAACTCTGGTGGCCTACTGGTTTAAGGAGTTGTGCTGCTAAACCAAGGGCAATGTAGTTTGTATTCACAAGTTGCTCTGTAGGATGTTGAAGTTTTTCCCAAGTTGAAGGACGAAGGACTATAGTCTCAAGGATTTAATCAATCTCTATTAGACTAGTAAATCTCACCATTTTTAAGTTTTTAGTTTTGTTCCTTTTTCCATCCACTCTCTCCAGGACCTTTGGCTGTGATCCTTCTTACATTTGCCAGTAGTCATTTGTCTTTTGTGAATTTAAAAACAAAAATATATACAATAACTTTTCAGAATTATTTTCCAATTTTGAAGAGGGTTATTTCCCATTTTTATTTATTGTCAATTATGTATCTCCATAGGAGTTGTTGTTTTTGTCGTTAATTGCCATTGAGTCACAGACGACTCAGAGACCCTATCAATGAAAGACCTGAACACTTGTGTAACTTTGGTTGTTTCTACATGTTCATAGAGTTTCCAGAGGCAAGTAATTTTGGAAGTGGATGCCACTCCTGCTTCCAAGCTTGTTTTAATTTGGAAGCTCCACCAAACACCATCCACCATGGGTAAACATTATCATATTTGGCATACCAGTGTCAGAATGTTTAGCATCACTGCAACCACAAGTTACCTCTGTACTGCACAAACCAGTGCTTTACCACTTAGAAGAATGTTTGACAAAAAACAATTTAAACCAGGCCTGAGGGCTGCAGATTAAAATCATCCACCTTGGGCTTGGTAGCATAGCTTTCTGTCTGCTAGGCCAACATAGCTCTCTCTATGTTGCCATTGTTATTGTTGTTAAATGCCATCGAGTTGTAGAAGACTCGTAGCTATGCTACGACCAAATGTCCCGGACACTTGTATAACTTTGGTCATTTCTCCATGTTCATAGGATTTCTGGAAGTAAGTAATTTCAGAAGTGGATGCCACTCCTGCTTCCAACCTTGTTTAAATTGGGAAGCTCCACCAAATACTGTCCACCATGGGTAAGCGTTATGGCATTTGGCACATCAGTGTCACAGTTTTTCTAATTTATAATTTCAGCTCTTTGAGGGGGTATCAGTTTTTTTGCTGTTCTTTTTCAATTTGTTGGAGATGTTGAGTTAGAGTCAATGGTTATTTTTTCCTGCCTTTTGATGTTATAAACTGACCTCTGATTACCGCTTTGTCTATTTCCCAAAGGTTTTGTTAAGTGGTGTTTTCATTGTCATTTGTTTCAAGAAACTTTTTAATTTCATTTTTTATTTCTTCTAGTACCCAGTCATGTTCAAGCAAGGTGTTGTTCAGCTTCTAAATGTATGGCTTTTTTCTCCTTTATCCTCTTGTTATTAATTTATTATTTTGCAGCATTTTGGTCTGAGATGTTTTGTATTATTTCTATGGTTTTGAATTTATTGATGCTTTCCTTGTGACCTAAAATGTGATTTATTCTGCAGAATATTCCATGCACATTGTAGAAGAAAGTGTTTTTATGGGGTGCATTTGCCTATAAATATCTATGAGATCTAGTTAGTTTATTGTATGGTTTAATTCTTCAGCATCTTTGTGGAGTTTCTTTCTGGTAGTTCCATGTTTTCTTGAGAGTGGTGTATTGAAATCTCCCATGAGAAGGACAGGCAATTTCTTCCTGTTCAATTAACTGCCTCTGAAAACCTTCTGGAGGGTCAGCTATACGTCAGTTCCCAATCAATGGTACACAACAACAAAAACATTATGTACCTATATCCATATCAATCATTATATTTAAAATTTCTGTCTTTCCACAGTTTGTACATTGCTAGACTATGTATTTAATCTTAAAATAATTTGATACATATCTGTTTTGGTATATAATTCTGTTTAATATATTGTAACATTTTTTTCAATGTGTTTGATGTTTCCATGACTTCATGAATTTTCCCCTCTATGTATGGTGAAACAATATATTATTTCCAAATTATTTTATTTGCAGTTTCTCTCTGTATTATATTCTCCAAATACTTATGTTTTACCAGGTTCACTTCTTTTTCATTGTTAATAATTTCCTATTTTCTCCAACAGGAATAAAGTAGGAATGACCAAGAAAGGTGATTCTTAAGTAGGTAACCATGAAAGAAAGAAATTCCAGCAATCCAACAGGTTTCATCTTACTGGGTTTTTCAGATCTTCCCCAGCTGGAGAGGATTCTTCTACTGGTCATATCTATTATATATATTCTGACACTGATGGGGAACACAACTATCATACTTGTCTCATACTTGAATCCCAAACTCCACACACCCATGTACTTCTTCCTCTCTAATCTCTCATTCCTTGACCTCTGTTTTACCACCAGTATTGTCCCACAGATGCTTTGGAATCTAAAAGGTCCTGAGAAGACTATTAGTTTTACTGCTTGTGTGATCCAAGTATACTTTGTTTCAGGACTGGGCTCCACAGAGTGTGTTCTTCTGACTGTTATGGCCTATGATCGCTTTAATGCTATATGTAGACCTCTCCGTTACGGCACTATCATGAACCCCAAACTCCTTTGGCAATTATCAGCTGTATCTTGGATCAGTGGTTTTGTGGAGTCCACATTACAGACAACACTTGTTTTTCAATTATCTCTATGCAGCCACCATAGGGTGGATGATTTTTTGTGTGAAGAGCCCGCTCTCATAAAAATTGCATGTGTGGATACAACCTTCTTGGAGAATGAGCTGGCCATAGCTTGTGGCCTTTATGTGGTTTTGCCTTTGGGACTCATTTTGGTCTCCTATGGCTGCATTGTAAGGAGTGTGCTGAGAATAAAATCAGCTGAAGGCAGAAGGAAAGCCTTTGAAACCTGTGGGTCTCACATGATGGTTGTGGTTTTATTCTTTGGGACTGTAATTTCTGTCTACATCCAACCCAAGAGCAAGTATACCCAGAATCATAGTAAGTTCCTCACACTTTTCTATACTGTGGTGACTCCCTCACTTAATCCTTTAATCTACACTTTGAGAAACAAAGAAGTTAAATCAGCTCTGAAAAGGCTGCTCATAAGAGAATCCAGTTAGGGTGATATATGTAGCATACTTGTGCAATTCCTGAGATGCTGAGAACTTTAAGGCATCACTTCCTTGTTGTGTTGGCTTCTCATTCAGAATGAGCACAATTACATGAGCTATATCTTTTAAAACTAAAAAAGTTCAAACTAATTATTGTGTATTGGAACCAACCAACCTTCTAGTGGGTTTATAGAGTGAAAATCTCAGGGAAAGAGTTTGCTCATCTTTCCCCATAGAAGCAGCTAATGAATTTGAACTGTCTGCCTTTGGGTTACTAGAGAAATTCCTTACCCATTAGGCCACTGTATCTCCCTGTAGGTGTGAAATACCTTTTGATGTAATCCTGAAGTTACCTACTTTAAATACCCTATAACCTCCTCTTTATAAATAGTTCCCTTTTGTCTATCTAAATAATCTATTAAGAAACTATCTCTATGTGTTTATATGTATATATGTTTTATAATATTCAATAATCCTAGAACTCTAGTAACCGAGTAATTACATGACAGACATAGTTATGTCAAAGCCATGTTTGCATCATTTAAGTAAATAATTTACTTTATGAAAACAAAGCTGACATCCTAGCTGTATAAATTTGAGAATGTAAATTATTTGAGCATGCATCCTTCTCTTCTCGAGGTCTTGCATTCAGTAGTACATCAGGTAATGAGTGTTCTTTCTTTATTGCACATGGAAGTGGCAAGGTCCACTGGATAACCCATAGTGATCTACAATTATTTGCCTTCCCTGAAATATTGCTGATTCTTGTTCATCCTGTAAAGGCCTTTGGGATTAAGTTCACCCAGGCATCTTGTCTTTCCCATCTACAAAAGAAGCTCCGAAAAAGATTTGCCATGAGGCTTAATGGGTTTCTTTTATGCATCTCTCATCTGATAAACTTTTGATAAAGTTTCATTTATACTTGTAGTTGTGTACTGTTGAGTCAGAAACAACACATAACTGACCCTCCAGAGGGTTTTCAGAGGCAGTAAATTGCCAGGAGTTGATTGCCGTCTTTATCCCAAAGATCAACTGGTGGATTCGAACCATATGCCTTTGAGATTGCAGCACAGCTCCTTACCACTAGGAATCTGAAATAAATCTGAATATTTTAATTTAACAAAATAAACTACTCAAACACTTATAAAATGTCTTTGTCATTTATGTAGTTATTATGTGATGCTGAGAGAACAATAATTCATAGTAAATCTATGAACTGTGACTCTGAATCTTGTCCTGTCTTGAGCCAACGTCACCATCTCCATCACACCTGGTCCCACTGTCACGGTCACTGTCAGTCCATCTTGCTGAGGGTCTTAATTCCAATCATAATGTTCCTATGCAAGTACTGACCTCTCTTGTCAAAATGGAGTTTCACCATCCATACCTCCACAAAGTACCTGAGTTTCACTTTTTCTACCAGAGCTGTTTGTTCTTTGGTAGTGTATGGTATGTTGAATGTTCTTCTCCAGCATCATATCAATTATTCTTCTTTAATCATTATAGCAAGCAAGTGAGAAGACTATGACTTGGATCAGGCACACCTTAGATTTTATACTGACTCGCTAGCATTCAGGAAGGGTCCTTGACAACTTTCTCTACCAGAAGTGCAGCAAACAAGTGAGAATACCGTGACTTGGATCAGGCACACCTTAGATTTTATACTGCTCTTTAGCATTCAGGAGGGGTCCCTGGCAACAAATTTTCCCAATACAATTCATCTTATGATTTCCTGACTGCTAGTGCCAAGTATATTGATTGTGGATTCAAGTAAGATGAAATTATTAACAATGTCAATCCTTTTCTATGTATCATGATGCTGTCAATTGGACTGATGGTAGAGATTTTGGTTTTCTTGATGTAGGGGTGTAATCATTATTGAAGGCTGTAGTCCTCGATTGTAAACACTTTAAGTCCACCTTAGTTTTGGTGACCAAGATAGCGTCATCTGCATCCTGAAGTTGTTGATGAGTCTTTTTCTGATCCTCGTGCCACATTGTATTTTTGTAATGTCTATCTTCTCAAATGATCTGTTCAGCATATATATTGAAAAGGCATAAAACGTTTATACAATACTAAACCTTGATTAGATTATAGCTTGATGGAATTTAGAAAATGGTTTTATATTGAGTTGTTGTTGTTGTTGTTAAGTGCCGTTGAGTCACAGGCGACTCATAGCGACCCTATGAAGGAGAGTCCTCGACGCTTGGGTGCCTTTCATCTTCTCTCCAGGTTCATAGGGTTTCAGGAGGCAAGCTATTATGGAAGCGGATGCCGCCACTCCTTCCAAATATTTTGAGTACACATTTTAAAATTTATTTTTTAAAACAAATGTTATAGTTTGGGTAATATTTGAACTTTTAAAAAATGCTGATTTTGTTTTATATATATGGAAATAGCTATTTACAGAATATTAAGATTTCTGTTAGATTTAATATTAGATGTTGTTTAGTTATATTTGTTGCATGCTTTTTTTCCAAATACTTTTCTACAAAATGAGTGCTTTGACACTGATTATCCCTGGAAAATAATTTAACTACAAATAAATGGCTGTGGTTGAATATTGCCTAAAGTTGAATGGAATGTAAAGATATCAGCTTAGAACTCCTACAGGGAGTTCTACCTTGTCCTGCAGAATTGCTATTATTTGGGATTGGCTTGATGGCACAAACAAGTGTCAGATGTATAGAAATACAAAGTTTGACTCAACAAAATGCCACCATTCTTTGCACTTAAGATGTTCACAGAGCAAGGATGTCAGTTTGAAAACCTGATCCAAATCTTAGTTTTTAAAATTTACTTCCTATGCATCCTCTACAACTTGAAAGCACTTAACAACAACAACAACGATGAGAGATCTCTGTGGGCCTGGTGGGTAGAAAGTTATGCCATCAAGTCAAAGGTGGGTAATTTTAATCTGTGGCCCTCAGGCCTGGTTTTAATTGATTTTGGTCAAACATTCTTCTAAGTGGTATAGCACCAGTCTGTCCATTTGCTGTACAGAGGTAATTTGTGGTTGCTGTGAGGCTTAACAATGTGACACTGATATGTCAAATGTGATAATGGCTACCCATTGTAGACAGTGTTTGGTGGAGCTCTCCAATTAAAGCAGGCTTGGAAGCAGGAGTGGCATTCACTTCTGAAATAGCTTGCCTCCAGAAACTCTATAAATATAGAGAAACAACGTGTTATTCAAGTGTTCAGGTCTTTCATTCGTAGGGTCGCTATGAGTTATCTATGACTCCACAGCACTTAACAGCAACAACAACATGCATCTGAAAGTTTGACAATGAATAATGATGAGAGTAGAAAAATCTATGCCTTTAATTTGTGTTGTTGGAGAAAAGTATAGAATACCCCATGGACTATCAAAAGAATAAGCTAGTATGTCTTGGAGAAAGTGCAACTAGAGTGTTCCTTGGATGTAAGGATGGTGAAACTGCATCTCATACACTTTGGTCACTTTGTTAAGAGGAGTCAATCCTTGGAATAAGAAACATACATGGTAAGGTGAAGGATGAGCAAAAGAGAGGAAGACTTTTAAGAAGATGAATTGACATGGTGACTATAACCATGAGCTCGAACATATCAGAGATGATGAAGACAGCATAGGATAGGGCAGGGTACCAATCTTCTGTTCATAGGGTCACTGTGGGTCATGATCGAATCAATGACACAGAATAACAGTATTTCATAGGCAGAAATATTTGAATTACCAATATGTAATATAGTGTCAAAATTCCAAATAAAATTATTTCTAGAACATTACATTTGAACATTTTATAGAAATTATTTATTTCCACATTTGAATTTTTACAAAGGAGTATAATCTTATTTAAATGCTGATTAAATGCTACTTATTAATTCAGAATCAGAAATAAAATTAAAACAATCTGATCTTTTTTTCTAATCTTTCCTATTCATTCACTCACTCACTTACTTACTCACTTATTGCCTTCCATGCTAAACTAATAACTGACCCATTATTAGGTTTCCAGAGATCAGAGACTGTTAATTCCACAGGAGATTGACCATTTTATTTCTGAGTTACCTGAAAGGATTTGCCTTCAGGATATTAGTGCAACTCTTACAGATACCATCACCAGAGCTCCTTTATCTATCTCTTTTTCTCCTTGCATTTGAGTTGGAATCAACTCCCAGCTGACCTCAGATTTTCGAAGGCTGTAAATTGCATAGGAGGAGATTATACATCTTTCTCCCAAAGAACATCTGGTGAATTCTAACTTCTAACTTTGTGTTAATAGTACAATTCCTGACTCACTAAACACCAGAGAATTCTCTTTTATATATAGTCATAGAGATATTTTGTCTATAGTCTAAAATATTTTTAAAACTTTTAAATCAATTTAACCTTTTAAAGAGTCATTCCAGTCTTATTCTTTTCTTAGCTTAAGGATTCTCTATCTTGATTATATTGAAGTTTTGTTTTCTATACTCCCATCCATCTGTGAAGGATTTAATTAACAAAATGTAAGATTGGAAGCATTTGCCTTCTCCAAGCTTCAGAATCTGAAAGTTGTGACAGAGTCTAATAAACAATAATGATCAGAAATTTGACTTAGAATGTATTTTTGTTTTATTTTAATCCAATAGGATTATAAAACTATTTCCAACTACTAAAAAAAAATTACTCCTTTCCTTCAGTTTCTACCCTTTGTGACCCTCTATTTGGGGCTGTTTCTGAGGCTGTAAATCCCTAAGGGAGGAATCTGAAGCCCATCTTTTACCCACTATGCCACCAGAGACTTAAAAATAAGACAAATATTATTTGGTGGAGAAAGAATCTCTTGGGAAAATTTATTTGCCTTTTTATTAAAAAAAAAAATCAAGAACTTTTCCCCATGTATGGTTGATTCTTCCTGTAGCAGAATAATTATATTTGAGATAGATGCCAAGAGGGTAGATGTCATAAAGAGCTCCTGGAAGGGAATATGAAGGAGAAGCAAGATCATTTAAGGAAGAAGCTAAGTTAGTTAGACATTATAGAT